AAGTGAGTCTCCTGCCTCAGCCTCCCAAGTAGCTGGGACCACAGGCACCCGCCACAACGTCCAGCTATTTTTTTTTGGTTGCAGCCGTCAGTGTTGTTTGGCGGGTCTGGGCTGGGGATTCAAACCCACCACCTTAGGTGTACATGGCTGGCGCCTTAGCCGGTTGAGCTATAGGCGCCAAGCCTGAACGTACATTTCTAAAATTCCATATAAATTGGTATTTACTACACAAGAACAAATTGATTGTTAAAATCATCCCCTCACCTTACACAGTATTTTCGCTCCCTTCAATAAAGTCAAGCTTCGTGGTACCAAAGTTTCTTCCTCCTTGATGTATCCTGGAGGCTCTGAGTTCAAAAAGTTACTAAACTATAATGATCTCACTGATCGGTCTCTTTTCAATTATATTTCAGGGCGTCAAGGGTTGGAGAGGATCTCACAGACATTGTTTAGGATCCTCTGGCCAGCTGCCCTTGTGTGACCACTCAATGCACCTCCGATCTTTCACTCCCAGGGCTTTCCTTTGATGGCCCTGCTTCCTCCTATCCCCAGTGAAAGCAAGTAAGATTGGGTCATAAGCCCGTTGAGAGAGTGATTAATTTCTCCCCCCATAGGCTTTCAATAATGTTCTGCATTTGGTGTTGAAAACACTTGCCATTTGCGGAACTCCTTGTTAGTCTGAAATATCCTGACACTGAGTCCTTGAAACAGGCATGCACGGAAACATACAGAAGAGTTTGAGCTCCTTTTGCATAACCAGTGATGAAATGTGGTTGAGGAGGACTCTGAAAATGACTGGGCAACGTTTCAGCCCTTCCTCTGTGCTTTTGTAGCTCTTGCTGCCAAGTTCACCGGCTCAATTTCACTGAGAACTTCACTTTGAATTGTGTGTTTACTTGTCTGTCTTCCTCATAAGAACTCCTTAGGGGAATAGGAACTGGGTTTTTCTTTACATCTTTTACCCTTTGCATAATTACCAGACCATAATCGGCAGTTAACACGTTTTGAATCAATGAATATTTTATGAAACGATGCATGCAACCAAATATTTTCATTGATGTTCCAGAGATGAAATCTGTCACTGAAAATTTTCCTTCTGGGGGCAGTGTTCTATAATGCTCAGATTGGAAGGTAAATAAAAACCCATCATGAATTGAAAGGCACCACTATCTAACCAGTGATTAACCATCTTTGCTGCCACCAGAAAATCTAATCCGGAGGAGAGCTAGCTGAAGAGCAGAAAACAAGTGCTGAAGTTTGGGAACGGGTTAGCATTTTGCTAAGGTGATTCAGAATATGCTCAGTGATGTGATGTGGTTATGGATAGCTTTTTTGTGCATCTAAAAGCTTACTGACTTTTATAAAATGAATTCTTCAAAATGTCTATCTCCCCAAGAAGGAGACAGGTTAAGATGTACGATAGCAAGTAAAATTAAGAGTAATTGATTTATAAATGCTACCATATGCATAGGAAATGGTAAAAAGAGCATTGAAACCATTTTACGCAAAATTCAGGTAAAAGGCAAAGTATGAAAAAAAGCCAGCGGGAATTAAACTTAGTGGGAACACAGAGTTCTGGAAAAAAAGTGACTCAGCAGAACCTAAGAAACATCTGGCAGGGTATAGTTAGTCATGGAAAAATTGGCAGTCGTGATTATGCATTTTGTGAAAATAATTATATACTAGTCCAACAGTCTACATTTAGACTGAAATTAATAGTTAAAATTCACTATCTTGGTCATTCAAATACTTCTATCAGCTGTCTAGAAGAGCTTACAGGAAGTGTTACCAAATTCAGTTTATCTATAATACTCGTAAAAAAACATAATTTTAGAGAAAAAATTTTCAGTTCACGTCTTATACAAGGATTAGTATTTTCAGCTCAGGCCTATTTTTATAAACTTAAGGCTTATCAATCTACTTGTCAACTTTCAATCTGATGAATAGCAAATATTATTTGTATTATTACTTTATAAAACAAGTAAATCATAAATGTGAATTTTGAATACTGTTTTACCAATAAAACATCATTTAAAATGAAAGCCTTTAACCTACATTCTTAACGTTTATATGACTTAAAATTTTGTACGTGGTATAATTTTACACAGCTTCCCGTAAATTCCTCCTTCTGTAACTCCTTCTATTTGACATGTGCACTAAATTTAATAAATAGAATTTCATTCACTCAACCAACACTTGAATGTCTATCAGATACTGGGTTCTCCGCTAGACTCTGGATGTACAGAATAAAGTAAAAAAGTCCCTTCCTATTACGTACATCATCATGTTAATCTATACTTATGTCCAGATTTTAATGATTTGAATGATTTTCTGTCAGCATTTGGACTAAATATAAGACAATTTGTTTTAGAGATGGGCTCTTGCCTTGTTGCCCAGCCTGGTCTTGAACTCCCTGGGCTCAAGTGATTCTCCTGCCTCAGCTTCCTGAGTAGGTGGGACTCCATGCATGCCGCTATGTGCCATGTGCCTGACTATGACAAGGTTACTAATAAATTTCATTCCATGCCCCCTAAAGATTTATGTATCGTGGTCGGTCTACCAAATGGATATCTTTT